AACTTCCAGCTGTAGAAACTCCGCGATTATAAACTTTGCAGGCGTTGCCCTACTCGAAAACCTTCGCATCGCTGAATTTCACGGATCAATGACCATAGTGTGCTCGCCTTGTTTTTACCCGTATCTACCCGCTTTACTTTTTATTCACCCTGTATTATGTACAGATATGAGAGAGAGCCGTGACATACAACCGCTGCGTCTCCTAACTGAAAGTCACAGCTGCGACGGTGGCTTGGTTGGTTTGGCTACGTTTTGCGAATGCCTCCAGAAAGGAAGGCGAAGCAACTACTACTTGCCTTACCGACCGGCAGAATACTCCACATAACTCGAAGATTAACCTGTGACAAACGCATCGAAGAACTCTGCTCCAGACACAGGTTATCATCTGCTGAAGCTCAAAAACTCGCACAGGCTTGGGAACGTTGGAAGCACTGTGGACCCCTCTGCCTCTGAGACCTGAAATAACAAGCCGTCATCAATACTGATTGATTGACTGACTCACCTTGTATACTAACATCTAGACACGAACTACCGTGCCTGTACTTGAAGTACATGAAGAAGAGTAGCGTGGTCGCAGTTTCAGATATTGCGACCTTGAAGACGTTGAAGAATGTAGCAGCGATATTAACAAACTGTTGGACTGGTCCAACGCACACGAATGCACCTTAACCTGAACGAATGTATGGTGTGTAGTTTTATTTCTTTAAATACACTGATCCATGACCTCGTCAACCTTGCTAGAGAAGAAACGAACTCAATCGAGACTCCGGTCACATAAGTTAAAAATATGAAGTACCCTGGTGTAGTCGTTAATGACATGTTGACATGCTCTGATCACATGGTTTACGTCATCAGTAGCGTGAAGAAAGCTAATTTCTACCTTTAATATTTGCGCTTGCTTGGAACCCATTTAGACTTGCCTCGGCGATTAACAAGGTGCTCTATAATGCCAATTATTACTTATGCTTTTGCAGTCTATTTTGAAGTCTTAACGGGAGGTGATTTGCGCTCTTGTGGTAATCGCGAGATTTGAAAGCTGCAATAAGATCATTTGGCTAAGAGCATTGTGCAGACTGCTTCTGACATTTCTGTAACATTTTCTGAAAGGATATTGCACGATTCTTCCGCCTCATACAGATTTAAGAACCTGCTACTATCAGAATTTCGTTTCGTTCTTATGAAAAGAAAAAAGCTGAATAACTTGAAAACAAAAAAGATCAGTGATGCCCCATTTAACTCGTACCCTAAGAGATGTTGCTGCTTTAAAGTATCGTTTCTAGTTTTCTAAGGAATGTTTAATGTTTTCTAAGTAACAAATGCCTTGCTGCTTTACGTTGCGTATATGCAGGTGCTGAAAGCAAAAGGAAACATATTCCAGCATAGAGTTAAATACTGAATATATTTTTTTCCTTGTCCATGTTATTGCTTTGTTGAAAGACGACAGCCTTCATACTGAAAGCTTAGGTGGTTAATCACACTGCTGTCCGGATATGAGAACTCATAGAATAACTCCTCACACTATTATTTGTATGCTATTCATCTACTGTTGTTGCGATATCATAGACAGTA